TCCGACTTATTGTGTAGCTAATTTATTACTCAACTGTCTAATCAAAAACAAATGAATATATTTTCTTTAGAAGAAACACAAATACATTTTCTTAATATGAAAAGATGTTTACATACACATCAGATATACTTTTGGGGTTGTACTACTTGAGGGCATACTCACAACAGCGGCATAGGAGTCATTGACATATTTACTTCTTTTTTCTTCAATTTTCTTTTTAATGGGACAATCTCTCGAAATTGCTAAGTGGTTACCACTACAATTGATACAAACGTTTTGTTCTACATCACATTCTTTGTTCATACACTCATGTGTTGACCAGCACATGATGAGCACATCTGTGAGCTACGGCATACTTTAGCTGAATGGTTAAACTTCAGACATTTGTAGCATTGGACTAATGGTGTAATTAATATAAGTGTGTACAGGATATCTAAATAATTGTATGTAGGCATATTGTGGTAAAGTGGTAGCTGCAAATGTGACGGCTACAGTGGCCAATGGAGATAGTTTTCCCTCTACTTTTTCATAAACCGTTTGATGGATATCACTTTGGTATCACAACTAATTTTTTTATAAATTTGCTCGTTAGACATGTCTGTCGGTGCGTATCTTATGAGACCAGTTTTTTCTGCGATATATGCTGGTACAAAAGCCTTGAATTTATATTGATTTAAATAATTGTCCATTTTAAAAAAAATATTGGCTGGTGCGGGCTTTCGAAAGGTCACACCTATTTTATAGGCGTTTACTCGGTGTACAACTGCAATGCCACTCTACTCTCGCATGTAGCAAAGTCGTTAGAGCGCCTCCTGCTCTGTCGCTTGAGGCCGACACTGACGCCTCGCGAGCAGTTCGGCTTCAGAGGCGGCCACTCGACGACTTTGCAGCTGACGCGCGTGCTCCACCACCTAGGTGTCGAGCACAATCGTGGCCACTTCACGGTCGGCGTCTTTCTCGACATAGAGAAGGCGTTCGACCGTGTCTGGCACGATGGCCTCGTGTCGAGCAACTTCGACACGAGGCCATCGTGCCAGACACGAGCACGCCGCGCGCATACGTGCGGGTAGTAGACGCATTCCTCTCTGGCCGGAGCTTTTATGTTTCGGTCGAGAACTGTGACTCTACCACGCGCCCAGTCGCCGCCGGAGTCCCGCAGGGCAGCTGCATATCGCCAGCGCTCTACGCGATGTACACAGACGACATCCCCACCTTGAGGGATGAGCTCCGAAAGGGAGAGAGATGTCGTCCTCGCTCTATTCACCGACGACAGTGCATTCCTCACGTCGTCTCGCCGAGCCCATGCTGCCGCTCGCAAAATGCAGCGGTTGTTGGATCTGCTCCCCGAGTGGCTGGATAAGTGGCGCACCGCCGTCAACGTGGGCAAGACGGTGGCGCTACTTACCCACAGCCGGTGCTACTATCTGCCGCCCCTTACATTCAGAGGCCAGCCCATAAAATGGGAGTGCACAGTGCGTTACCTAGGAGTTGAAATAGACCGGTCGCTGCGCATGACGGCACAGGTGGACCGGGCCGTCACCCAAGCAAAGGCCGCACGCGCAATGCTGCGACCGGTCCTACAATCCAGGCTGCAGCTGCGAACGAAGGTAGGGATCTACAAAACCTACATTCGTTCGCGGCTCACATACGCCGCCCCCGCATGGTACGCACTGTGCTCGGCCTCACAGCGGCGGAGATTGCAGGTCTAACAAAACGCCGCCCTCCGTCTGTGCACTAATGCCGGACGGTACGTCCGCAACGACGTGATCGCCCGCGACCTCAAGGTCCAATTGGTGGAGCAGTTCGTCGTCCGGTTGACGCGCGCGGACAGCGGGCGCGAAACGCACCTACCCGACCTCACCCCCCTACACGCGCGCCCACCGGACGCCACATGCGCGCTCCCGCGCGACCTACTCTCCACCGAGTGATCACGTCACTTGCGTGACGTGGCGGCGTTAAGCCGGCTCGGCGAGCAAAGCACGACCCCCACCACATTACGCCTACAGGCGCCTGCTGAAAAGCAGACGCCCTCCGACCGGCTGGCAAGCCGGCCGGTAAACGAACGACGCTGGGGTGGTTCACCCCAGCAGTACGCTCGGGCAAAGAGCTCTGCTCGAGGCCCGCACCCTGCGGTCCGCACAAGGACCAGCGGACGACCCGAAGATAGATAGACCTGCAATGCCTCTCACATTTTCGGTGAACGACTTTGTTAAAGTAATGGGGTTTTTATTCCCAACTTTTTAATTTTCTGTAGACTCTACATAGACTACACAATCTACACTATTTCAGAAAACTGTCTTTTATAATTGGGTTTTGTATACATTTTATAGTCCTCGGATATAGTTAAATGATTCGGCGACATCTTCCGTTTTTTGCCACATTGACTTTTTCCACGGTCGACGGGGTTTCCCCCGTCGCTACTATCACTCATTTTCTCTACTTGATTTACTATTTAGGTATTTACAATAAGATATATAATAAAATTACAATTAAAATAAAAAGTCAAAAAGGAGAAAATTTAAAACACCCGCTCAATTTGACTTCCCGCCAAAAAAATACTTGCAGATCAGAAAGGCTCAGTGTTGCGAACACGACTATTACAAAATGTGCTAAATATCATAAAATTATGCTAAAAAAATATACTAACATTTTCCAGTGTCCAATAAAACGTCGTTTAAATGTAAACCTAAAGCTGTTTTCACTACAGGAATCATTTCTGAATCCTGGAAAACTCAAATCATAGTCCCTATTTTAAAACCTGGGAAAAACCCATCACATTCTGTTTCCTATAGACCAATAACGTTATCCTCCACTCGCTAAAATCACGGAACATTTAATTAAAAATAGGCTTGAATGGATCATAGAGACTAAGGGGCTATTAGCAAACAGTCAATTCGGTTTTAGGTGGGAAATTTGAACTATTGACAAATTAAGCATTTTCACCACTGAGGTCCGCCTTTTTTTTTTTTTTTTTTTTTTTCCCAGGATCTTCTGTAATCCTGTTGTTTGGGAGCCGAAGGGCATCGCTATTGGGATACAATGCACAGCGGTGTATATATATGGTAAGGTAATTTGATTTTGATTGATATATTTGATTTTTGTTTGAATGTTAGTTTGTAGTATTTGTTATTTATTTTGTATTTGCATTATTTATTTATTATATGTAGAATTTTGTTCTTATTTTATTTATGTTTTTATTATTATTATTTTTGTTTTTATGATTGATTTTTGTTTGAAATAATTTTTTTTTTTTTTTTTTTTTTTTTAAATTGTAATATTTATTATTTATTTTCTTCCTTTTTCCTTTCTCCTTCATCTCTTGTTCTTGGTTTTTTTTTTTTGTCCTGTTTTATTTATTTATTTATTTTTTGTTTTTTAATTATTGTTAGAATGTTACTTTGAAATATTTGTTATTTATGTTGTATTTACATTATTCATTTATTATAAATAGTATATATATATATAATTTTTTTTTTTTTTTTTTTTTTTTTTTTTTTTTTTTTTTTTTTTTTTTTTTTTTTTTTTTATTTTTTTATTATTTTTTTTTAATTATTGTTAGGTATTCTGAAAAAATGAACACCTTATTGGTACCTTCCTTGACATCTAAGTGACTTGACACTGAGTATCTTTGCGAGATTAATCCATATCATTTGTAACCTCTTTATGTGTAGATCAATTTCTCTACGCGTTAATGGTACTTTACTTCCTCCGAAACTAGTTTGGAAAGGCTTACTCCAGGGATCGGACAAAAATTCAGCATAAGTTAAAATTTTTATCTAAAACGATACAAGTACACAAAGAAGTGTAATGTAAGTGTAGTGCACACAAGTAAGTGTCTCTATACCAATTTTAAAAACGAAATAGCATTTCAATCACCAATAGATTCTGATGACCAATTTCCTCTTGATCGAAAACTTCAGTTACATTATAAGCCCTAATGAATGTCAGCTGGGGTTTCGATATCAAGGCTATATTGGGATGGCTTTATTTATAACGTGACGTGACGTGACAAGGTTAGGACCTCAGGGTGAGTACCTTTGCCCCGGCAGCAATTCCAGGGGCAACAACCCCCGGATCACTGGGCAAACAGCCACTTGGGGCGGGTTCCTAAAACTAACTTACATTTTAAACCCTAAGCTAGAGATCATATAAATAAAAAAAATACAGCAACTGTACAGTCCTAACTTTTACTAGAGGTAGTACTATACTTGCGGACATATTTAAAACATTTTGACTTACATTAGGACTATGAGGCCCATATGAATATAGTATAAAGCACTATTTTGTTAGAATAGACAAAGTAATTTTTGAACATGACTAGAGAAGTATATGGGGATGCCCTACCTTCAAAACAAACCAGGAAAAATAATTTTAAAAAGTCGTTGTGATGAGGGTTTAACAATCTTCTTGCTTAACAATAACGAATAAATTGAGCATTTGTTAAGACTGATTTGCAGGCGAGTGTAGAGTGGCTATCGGTTATCATTTGGTAATGGAGTAGGGACTAGACTAGAGGGCCCCAATCCATACATACATACATTACATAACATACTCGTACGATAGTGGGTTCGATTCCTCGCACGGTAGCTATACAAAATTTGTATACAAGGGTATGATTGTATTGATTTGGGTGTTTTTTATGTATATTATTATGTATTTACAAAAAATGTATATTTTTTTATTAGTTGTTTTAGTTCCAACCTAAGTAGAGCTTGTACAATGGGTACTAATTATACAAGCTCTGCTTAGCTTGGGATTAGATGGTGCTCTAAACTAAAAAATTGTCGAATGTTATAATAATTATTATTAAACCGAGTTTTCCTTCAAACTCGCATTTATAATTATTATCTTTTCCTCTTCTTTTATTTCGTATACAAGCAGGTAGTACTCAGCCACACGGGGTGTAGGAGAGGTTGTGGTATGTGAGGGACAGTGAGGGTGTTACTATTATTGAAAGTAGTTTTATAAATAATTATTTAATGTTTAAATACACAAAGGAATACTTCTGTTAATCAGGAATGAAAATGCTATTTATACTGGATACCCACTATAAAAAAACATTTTTTACCCTCGTGGCATAATTTATTATACAGAACATTGACATTTTTGAAGGTTTGCATACTCCTAAGGAATTGTATGTATAGATTCAATTTAGGTTTCGTTTCTTCTCGATGCAGGGAAAATCTTAAACCAAATGTTAGTTGTAGGTATAATTATAATTCCTTTAGAGAGAACTTGGTACATACACAAAATATCTTTAATATAATCATATCCCTAACCTAACCTATGTGATGCCAATGAAGTAGGTATCAATATTACTTCCTACTGATATTAATAAATAATAAATAAACCTGGATATTAAAATAATATAGTTTTTTTAAATTGTCTTATTATATATTATATTAAAATAATTACTTTAATTATATTGAAAATTTCTCATGTCATTATATTGTTCCGACCAGGCAGCAAATTTAGAGCCATCTATTTCTCCGGCATGTTTATTGCTTGACAACAGTCTATGGGACTGCCCACCAATCTGCTCTCCGCATTCGATACAATTTCCTAGTTGCATAGCACCTCCACACTCGCCAATGCAGTAGTAATGACCATTTGGACACTTGTACCAATGGCCAGCTTTCATATTCATAGCTTTTATTACCATACCTCGTTCTTCTGCTGTAATTATATCAGATTTTAATATTTGTTGTAGTTCTTTAACAGCTTTTTGCGCAGTGGTATAGTTAAATACGCGTCGAGTTATAATGGAGTTTTTTGCTAGCTCGAGGGCCTGTATTACACGAGGATGTTTTTTTAAAGTCAAATAATTACTGTGATGAGTAATTTGAGCAAGCCCTATTAACGAATTTAAGCGATTTAATTCATTTCCGATGTCGTTTTGTTGTTGCCGACTTATTTTGTAACGGTTGCTGCTCATGATATTACATAACAATTTTATTAGACCGAGGACTTCCTCTTTAAATTCGCTTAAATTATTAGTTTTATATCTCATGTAGTATTCGCCCATTATATCTAGTATCTCAAAGTATATAGATGTCATATTGAAATCCAACAGCGACGCGGTTTTTGAAATTAATTTGCCTGCTTTAAAAGCTGTTTGATAATCTTCATTGTCTGAAAAACAAAATATTTACTTATATAAAAATAGATTCATTGAAATCTGGCTTAGGTACGCCAAAACTGAATTAAGGTTCCGCTAAGGCTCCGGTTAAGGAAATATATCAAACTACAAAATAATTGAAAGACGTTGGATTTATATATATTCAGAGAAATACGAGCATGCCATGCGTTGCGTTCACCCCAGCATCGACATTTTTTTTATTCGATGATAATGGAATGATGCACACTCGCCTAAGCGTGCTAACAGTTTATGCTGGCGTTTTACCAGTGGAGGATAAGAATGAGCATTAGGTCAGGTCTATTAGCTCCTCGTGACAAATTCACCAGGAATGTATCTCAAAGGTGCGCTCAAACATTGTGAAAGACAATTTTGAAGCGAACCTAATTTTGTTATATTTTTACATTCAATTATTTATTGTACACATAACTACATATGTATGTATGTGTTTATTAACCGTGGGTCCTAATTATCTGTTTTCTGCAGCTTTAATTGCGTCAATCTATTTAATTCCAATTGTATGCAAAATTTGTTGTGTTGTTGTGATTTCTTGGTTTTTCGTTCTATCTACGATTTTGTTACAGGTATAATACAGGAACAATTTGGTTTATACCACCTACCACTTAATAATGACTGGTATTTGAGCCTCAACTGATCGATTAGGCCTAAAATTTCAGTTCGTTTTTTGTCAATGTCTTTTGTACTGCCAAATACTTGGTTCTTAATGGGATTTATGTCAGTAACAATCATATGTCTGATGAGATCTTTGTATCTCTGTGTATTAATGATCGGTTTCCGACAGAAGGGGCAAGTACGTATATCGATTGTATCACTGTCTCCCATCATGAGGTTATCCATATCTTCTACTTCGATTACGTGAGCACAGTCCTCAAGTTGTATAAATCTGAAATGAATGATGTTTCAATTTTCAAAACTTAGGGATTTAGTCGGTCACTACAATGGATACTCTTGGTTCCCAAAGTGGTCTAGGTACAGGTGTACAGAGGTCCACGGGAGACTCAACTGGGGTCTACGCAGGCGTAACAAAATATAGAGGTACACATTTCGTGAGCACAAAAATGTATCTGCTTTCGATACTGAAGAAGTAAAAAGTTGGCTTGACTTCATCTAAAAATTTAGACAGGTAATATTTTAAGAAGCACATCGACTGTAAAAGCAAACTAAAATACTATTTGATAGTTAGATCTAATCTTCACATTTTCGTCGAGATTTGAGAAACATTATTATGGACCATATGAATATTGTAAAAAAAAATCTATGTTATAAAAATAATTAGAACTAACTACAAACTACCTTCAGTTTCTGGTTAGGTCCAATAAATAATACCCAATGTAATGATTATTATAAATATTGTAAATAGCGCCATCTAGTATTTATGGACCGAATTAATTTGTTTGTCATAAGATAACCGTTTTCCCCTATTACCCCTACTACACTACATAACTTCGATCTATAAATACGGAGGTCGGTAGTTGATAAATTCTCTTTCGTTGAATAAGCCACGGAGTTCCCATGGTGTACATGTGCTGTAGCTATTTGTTAATATAAGATTGAAATTTGTAAGTACTTGGCATCTTCGTCGTATTCGTCGCCGAGGAAGTCTGTGGGGAAAGTGTCTGGGCTGCAGTAGGCGCAGATGTCGGGACAGCGCTCGCCGCACAGTCCGCGGCAGCGATGGCCGCAGGGCAGTTGCAGTGGACACTTCTCTTCGCACGGAGCGCGGTTGCACTTCTCGCCGCAGCGATTGCTACAAGCGCTATGAAAGCACGAGCGCGTGCAATTTTCCTGTAGCGTAGTAATGAAATAAACCCGTGAAGATAATGCATGGTTTGTTGTTTATTATAATCTATACACTAGTTTTCAAGCTAAACACTATTGATTAGAAGTAGGCTAATGCATATGAAGAAATAATTATTACCTAAGTCTGTACGACAGTAACTACTTGCATCTATAAGTTTTGCATACTAGTCTAAATTGGACCTTAATTAATTTAAATGAATTTTTTTTTTCTTTATTGTACAAAAACACGTGTACAAAAGGCGAGCTTAATGCCATATGGCATTCTCTACCAGTTAACCTTTAGGTACAAATAGAAAGCGTTGTAGGGCAGTAGTGGCGAAAAACTGTGACAATAAAAACTATATAGTAGATATATAAATATAATATACAACTAAAATATACATAAATAAATAAAAATACTATGTATGATATGGATACAAAAATTTTATGTAATTAAAAAAAATGTATATTGTAATTAGTGAAGTTATCTAGGTTTGATATTGTAGACTATAGACAAATAATAATATTAATAAAGAAAAAAGAAAGAATATGTATGTATGTATTTTTTACGCATAATTAAAAAAAATATTACGGTATACTACTGCGGCTTAGTAGATATGAATACCCATGGTACCCATGGTAACGAAGTACTTTTGTTTTACAACTTATCCTAAAACCATACCTATAATAAGAAAAATGTGTTGAAAGTTGTCGTATAAAAATACAATACTAATTAAAATACAATACACAGCCCTCAAATCAGTTGTTTTATTTTAAGTTCAAGAACGTTATTGGACAAGGCCATAAAAAATGGTAACCAATTTCACATGTTGACGTTCCCCGTGATTCCAACAACAGTGTTGCCAATTTTTGTTGTGTTGTCAGTTGCAACAAAATTTCTCACACTTTGGTAACTATTTTATTCTCGAAAACATAACTTATTAAACACAACATACATTTTTTTTTAAATAGTTTCATAATGATATTATTAATCACTAAACATATTAAGTCCCGTACTTAACTTGTATTATTCGTAAAAAGTGCTTCATTTAGATAACACAGGTCTGTAAAAAAATTGTCAGCTGCATGAGATATATTTTACTAAATTATATATATAATTTAGAATGCGCTGATTTCAGAAATAATGGCCATATTTTTCTATCACGTTTTTTTGGTACGGGTTTTGGTAAAAGCACTTGTTTTTTAAAAATTATAACTGAATAATATTTTATACAATATTTTAAAGCCAAAAAATAATATAAATATACTTATTCATATTTTTTATGAAATCTGACGGCTTCCAATCTATTAATAGAAGAAACGCTTCTATTAATAGATTGGAAGCCGTCAGAGAACGCTTCTTTCCCAAGCCGCTTCAGGACCTCGGTAATGGTACTTTAAATCTCCGTTATGGAGTCAAAATACGTGCCCTTCATGGCTGTTTTTAGTTTAGAAAATAGCCAGAAGTCCGCTGGGGACAAATTTGGTGTATAGAGCGGATGTTTAATTGCGACTACGCCCTTTTTGGCTAAATACTCCTTCACAATCATTGCCTTGTGAGCATGCGCGTTATCATGGAGACTCCACGATCCTTATTGCCGACATTTTGGCCTTATCCGATGAACTCTGTGCAGCTGGCGTTTCATAGCTCCTAAGTAATATTCCCCTGTGACTGTCTGAACATGTGGAGCGAATTCCTTGTGAATTATCCCCTTGGGAGTCGAAAAACACAGGAAAGCTTCCTCAATTTCTTCACGACCATCTTTGAAGATTGAAAACCAGTTGAAAACGGTCGTATGACCTAAAGTTTCCTCCCCATATACTTTTGTAATCATTTCAAAAGTTTCTGTAGCACTTTTCCAAGCTTGAAATAGACTTGATGTTTGCTCTAATTTCGAATTTAAAATCTATGGCGAGGTAGCAAAATATGGTTTGGCAAAAATGAAATTATGAAAAAAGTATAAACACTAGAAATCTGAAAAATTCTCAGTTGATACAATGTTTGTTTACCTCTTTAATTTTTTAAAAATTTGTCAATTATATTAAATAAAAAAACCACATAGGTTTCTTTTTTTGATCTATAAAAACTTATGTGATAGAATGTTTTGAATATTTTTCCTGTTTTTAGAAGGTCAAAATCTATAAGAAAATGCAAAAAATCCTATGCAGTTTTTTAGTTGCAGACCTGTGTAATAATCATTCAATTGTCATCATGATAGTGCTAAGCATCCCCTGTAATGTTCATACCTAGTAACGAACAACTTTTGTTTATCGTTTTTCTTTAAAAGGTAACATTTGAAATAGGCTATTTTTCAAATGCTACCTTTTTAGCTCCACTATCAGGAATAATGCCATCATGTTGGCCTCCAAAAAGTCACCGCTAGAATAATTTGTATGTTATGTCTTGGTGATTTTTTAGTAGGTATAAAGCAGTCACCCACCTGACACGGAGTGCATGGTGCACCACAGGGCTTACTGCACTTTGAATGTGGACATTTTATATCACATTTCATTTTACATGGCGGACACAATTTGTTACATGGCTCGGCGCATCTGCAACATAATCAATGAATTGAAAACACCCTCACATGGTTATGACTAACTCAATAAACCCAACGCTATATTGCGGTTTAGCTTTTGCCCGCGGCTTCGCTCGCATTAATTTATCCCCTTAGGGGTGGAATTTATCAAAATACTTTCTTAGGGGATGCCTACTTCATAGTAGCTTTATGCATGCAAAGTCTCAGCCCGATCGGTTTAAAATTAACAAAGTTTCATACATCAAACTTTCATCCGCTTGGGGGTAGAATTAATCAAAATCCTTTCTTAGCGGATGCCTACGTCATAACATCTACCTGCATGCTAAATTTCACCCCGATCCGTCCAGTGGTTTGGACTGTGCGTTGATAGATCACTATGTCAGTCACCTTTGAGTTATATATATACTTAGAAGATAGAAGATAGATTAAAGTTAATTTGATTACAATATGGTATCGCGTCGCACGTAGTGTACCTGTCCAAGAACATATTTTATTATGTATTTATAATACAATTTATTGATTGATTTAATAATGGTGTATCGATTATAGGTATGTCAAATTCACATCCTTATAATATGTATGTGTAATGTAATCCTTATAATAGTTGTAGTCAATTTTATTATTAGAAATCGATCAAGTCTATTATTTTTACATAGACCATAAAGCCTATCATTCTATTCGTATCTGATGCAAATCTAATATGCATCCAGATATGTATGCGAATGTTACCTGTGTCCGCATATGTTCTGCCGTTCGCAGGTTTGATGGCAAGATCTGTGCACGCGGCCTTGGTAGCACTGTGAGCATGTACCGCTACAGATATGTTCACATTCCAGCATCTCTTCGCACGGGACTGTGCAATAAACCATTAGCAGCTCAGAGTTACGAGCACCTGTCAAAAATAGCAATCCATTAAAATATGCCAAAAACGTGGGTGTCTATTCTAGAAAAGTGCAACCCCTTGTCCTCATCATAACAGGTCTCTACAAGAAAATAGTGAGGACGAGCCATCCAAACTGGGCAAAATCTTGGCCTAATATCCTCTTATTGAAATTAGATACTATTATTTCAACATTTCAATTAAATGCATATCAATTGAGAACATTCAATCCTAGATTTAGTACCTCGACTTCCACAAGTAGAAAAGTAGTGAGTTCGAATCTGGCCGACACAATTTATATTTTGCACCGACTCTCTTGTGAGCACAGATCAAAAGAAGTAGGCAGATATAGTATGGGATCGTAATCCGCATGATAATATTACGCGTTATAACACATACTTCGGCCTGAGTGCCAGTTGATTTTAATGGTCTTATTTTGTTTAATTTAGCGGCGCATTCGTTCCGAACAGTCAACACTAGACTTCCAAGCTATATCCGAACTCTATTCAATGCTTGATGATGCCTCGTTCAGAGTCGAAACACGTATCGCAATATTAGTATATGACTCAATAAAGATCTTAACGGTAGTCATGTTTCCGCACTGATTATTTGTGATCTTACAAATGCTAATTGTGGCGGAATTAAACAAAATGATAGAAATTCAGCAGTGTAAGGTATATTTTCATTTCATAAAACATTCAAAACAAAGAACGTCGTAACTAAGCAATTTCAACAAAGGAATAACAAATCTGTATGGCATGACTGTCATGACACGAAGCATTATACTTATTTGGTTGGCTACGTAGTCCATTAATTTCATTTGTATATATGTATTGAAAAAGACAGGATGAGTATATATGTGTTGGCGATGGTGGTTTTCTAAGTATATTTTTATCACAATCTTTTTACCTACTACTTCCGTATTCTGTGTCTGTGATAGACACACTAATTTAATCCGAGGTTCGCGTCTTGCCATTTCGAATTCAGATATACATACGTAATGAAATGTTGCATTCACCATGTAGTCAACACTTGACAATGCTTCTAACCAAGCTATCTACAATTAACAGTTGTGAAGGTACATTGCTCAAAAATGTGGGTAGGCATTTTTTATATATAGGCTATTTTTTCCCTACCATGACGTTGACTGTTCAAAAGACACCTTACAAGCTCGACACGTACGCGCGTCTTTCCTAACTTATATTTAACTAGCTGTTCCTGCGACTTCGTCCGCGTGGATTTATACTTTATTATTACTAAAATAAAAATAGCCTAAGTTACTCCTTATTACATCAGCTACCTGCCAAAAAAAGTCCCGTTAAAATCGGTTCAGCCATTTCAGAGATTAGCCGGAACAAACAGACCGACATTCACCGCCACCTTTCTTTTATTAAGTCGTGTTTTTCTGTATCTCATATATGTTATGTGTCTGTAATTATGAATAAAGAATTTATCTTATCTATCTATCTACCTATCTTTCAATACTCCGAGGGTTTCGATGTTCTCCAGCACGTATCAGGGTATATGGCATAAGCACTATGTCACTTGTTAAGAACTTAGTTTCACCACTGGTTATTTATACATATAAATAAAATTGGAGTGTCTGTTTGTAATATTGAAATAACCGTTTTTTACTACGTGTATGCATATAAATATAAATACGGTATATACACCAAAATAAGACTTTTTTATATTTTTTGTCTGTCTGTCTGTTTGTTCCGGCTAATCTTTGAAATGGCTGGACCGATTTTGACGTCACTTTTTTTGGCAGGTACCTGATGTATTAAGGAGTAACTTAGGCTACTTTTATTTTAGAAATATAAAATAAAATTTCACGCGGACGACGTCGCGTGTACAGCTAGTCTTAAAAAAATAACAACTTTGATTGTGCCAGTTCTAAATATATTGTAGGGTTGTGTTGAAATGTTTCAATTGGTCTTTTTTAACAATTTTTTTAATATTTACTAAAATACTTACCATTATCAATAAACTTCTTCAATACATTGCAAGGAAGCTGCGATGTATGGCCACACCATGACTTGTAGTTGTGAGACACAAGGACGGTACACTTTGTAGGATCGCATGCGGCATTACAGCGACCGGGACAAACGTGGCCGCAGCCCAGATGACGATTGCACTTTTCCAAACAATCGATACGAGTGGCTTCTTTTCTGCATTCTATTTTTATTTTATGACCACATTCAGGGATGATCTTTGTTACCTTTTAAAATAAAGCTGTGTGTAATATCAATGATTGCAATTTTATTAAAAAAAATGTATCTTATTCACATTTAAATGAAGAAAGATAATATATATCAAAAATAAATAAGAAGGTAAACTGACATATATACCTCCTTTATAAAACAACAAGACTTTTTATTTATGTCATTTGTTAAGACGATTAAAGTACGTATTGATAAATTATATCGATAAATTACATATGATGATGATGATCAACATCATCATATGTAATTTATAAACTAAACTTAAAGTCCTGAAATTCGGTTCTTTGTCTGCTCTGTAAGGTATCTGACGTTAATGCCTTATATATAAGGCATGTAATATAATGTAATATTTCACAAATGATGATGACATATTGAGGATCTATCCTCAATATGTCATCATCATTTGTGAAATCCCCACTCCTAAAGAACCTAAGCGTTTTCGGACCAGTACGTTTTCAGAGGAGTTTCCTCCCGAGTACACTTAGATTGTGGAATAAACTGCTTGCCGATGTTTTTGATATAGAATATATCGCATGGGACTTTCGAGGACTTTAAGGCTCAGCAAGGCATAAGTTTCACACACTGTTTCTGGCATTCATAGATAGACTACGGTATCCGTTTATCATCTGATAGGCCGAATGATTGTTCGTCCCCATCGTGGTATAAAAAATATTTCAGCCACCAAGCAACTCGTTTTACAAGCTGTATTGCGGTAGTTGCTATGCTGACAATTTTTAAGGTACTACACATTTAGCTCTCGTCATCTGCATCCTGAATATTTAGAATTTATGTATTCCTAAATAAACGAGACCTTTCAGAAGTTCTCTAATAAATAGAGACCTACATAACAATTGCTGAACGAATATTTTTGAGCATTATGTTATAAATAACAATATTAATGTCTATTATAATATTACAGTGAAGAAATAGATTAAATAAATTATGAAACTGCAAGAGTAATACCATAACATCACAATTGCCACATTCCTCGAAACATTTGTTCTTGCAATGGTGTCCGCATGGCAGTGTTCGTGTGCATTTCTTGCGGCAAGGAATATTATCTATGTTGACACTGCAAGCCACTTTATCAGTATGCGTACATTTCGACCTCTTCTTTTTAACCTTGAAAATTGACACATTTTTATATATAAAGATTTACGTCCACAATTCTCAACGATTGGTTACCAGCATTCATAACATTGTAAGAATCAACTGTGGGCTTGTGTATTCAGTTAACTATGTTCATAAACCATTATTTATTTATATTTATTAGTATATGTATCTACCTATATAATTTTATAGTCAATAGCTTGTAGATAGAAATGGTGATATGCAATTTGTTTTATTTTATAATTAATAACTAACCTCTACTGTACAGTCGTCACAGGTTTCATGACATTGTTTTAAGCATTGATGATTTCCCCGATCTCCTAATAGTGAAGCTGAGCATCCTGCCTTAGCTTTAGCGCAAGGTTTTTCACAGAGATACTGAAAGAGATGAAGTTAATTAAATAATTAATACATGTTTAACGTTAAAGTAGGTCAGAGTTTATTTAACATACATTTTTCTATGGATACAATGTTCGACAAAAAATATAGATATCTAAACGTAAATGTTTGTGTATGCAAAGTTAAGCGATCTAATAGTTATAGTATTAGAAGCTTCATATTTGTGGTAAAACTAAACAAGTAATTTCCGTAATCGAACTTTCGATAAAATTACGTGAAATCGAATGCTGCTCCTCAGATCCATCTCAACATTTATTTATTTATTATTCTAACCTATTTAGGGTAAGTCTAGGAGATATGGCTGTATGATGGCGAAACTGTGAGATCAATTATATTTGTATCTCAAATTCAATTAATATCACTGTGGCCAGTTGCATTGGAAATCAATGACAAAAAAAAGAATTTTAATGAAATTCACAATATTGTTTTTTGATACTGCATTTATTATTAAATATTAGGTAAATGTGTGCGACATTTACTAATTACGAAAGACGAAATCCATCACTTCTTGGAAAAAGTTTAAATACTGTGAGAACCAGTTTTAAAAGATTACCTTTGAGAACTAGTTTTAAAAGACACGTTAAAGTCATATGCCACAGAGAAAGAGATGTGAACAAAATGATTACCAACCCTACTAAAACAGAAATAGTTACAGTAATTAGAATTTGCCGTGAAAATTGTAACCATGTTGTAAACATTTGTTGTTGTATAGCAATAATGAAAAACAAACTTAAAGGAGTAAAATAAGAACAGGAATAGAGAAGTAGTCGATTTAATTTGACGGCCTCGATTGTCTAGCGGTTTAGCACACTGCCTTACTTCCGTTAGTCGGATTCGATTGATGAAAGTTTGTATCGGTCTGGGTGTTTTCTATGTATAATATGTCTGTATTTACGAAAAAAAAATCTGACTGTATTTGTATCAGTTATCTAATATCCATAACACAAACTTTAACTAGCTTAATCGGGTCTAGATGGCGCTGTGTGAATTGTTCTGAGATAAAAAAAATATACAAAATGTTTTTAATATTTTTTTAAGTGTGATTTAAAAAAAAGTTTCATTTTGCGTTATTTTTTCTCAATTATGAATGATTGTTATTATTCCGTTACAAAGCAACTATCTATGGCAATCTATCCTCGACTTACTGCTACGTATTCTACCTATATTTTAAGAACATTTTCAAATTTAGCACGAAATAAATTTATAGTACCTAATTGCTCTTACCTTCTCATGATCTGGATCATCTTTGACATGACAATTACGATTGCATACATGTCCGCAGCTTTCTATACGGTATACACATTTTACTGGGCAAATCATTTGCTCGATTTTAATGTGACAATATTTCTGAACCTGAAATTATAACTAGTATTAAGAATTTTGTTATACTTACATTTCAGCAGAAGTTTTTTTCACTTGTCTCATAGGTATTTATAGCATAAACCCCAAAGACAGTAGTACAATAATAAACACTCAATAATTAGGTATGTACGTTCTTAAATTATTTTCATGAAACATAATTCTGTAAGTTAGTAAAAATTTAAAATCAATTGAATTATTTTACCTTATGCCCACAGTGAGGAAGAATTACTGGATTTATAGTATTACATTTAACACTTTCATTTGGATCCTGCCAGCAGGGTATCACCTGATCGTGTCCGCAGGGTAGACGCTTTTCTACTGGTATTATGCACTTCTTGCATTCATCTTTACATGGAAGCGGACACGCATGCTCAAGCTCACATATTATCCTGAAAAAAATAAAATGAGACATAACCGAAGATCTTTTAAATAAGGTAACGTTGCTCCAACTTCTAATTGACATAAGATCTACCTACTTTCAATATGATTTCATTATCTGCTGTTATTTAGCTCCAAAAACTACGTCACTCACATATTATTATTATTATTATAATTTAAAGTCAGTCTGTAGTATAACAATGTATGTGAGGCGCGCGCTACGTGGTACAGTGCCGTAATACTTTTTACGATTTTTTGCAGTTGACAAGGAAAATTAGTTTTTTTATTATTTTTGTGACTAAACAACAGCAGATAATTTTTTGCATGTATTTTTTGTGCAGATTTGTTTTCTCTACAACTTTTATTTATAACTTTTTGTCATATTTCTTACCGTAATTGTTATCGAGTTATTTTGAAAAAAGCGTTTTTCAACATTTTAATTTTTTTTTCATCCCTTTCCAGTCAACTTAAATCAAAATTTATTTCTGAATATTATTCACGTTTTGCGGAGTTTTATATATTGCGTCAAAACTGGTCATATTATAGTTTAATTTAATATTTTATTGTACTAATTGTAAGGTAAACTTTCGTATTTGTAATATTACATATACATAGACCAACACAAATTGCAATTTAACGCTTCTTTGTTCCGTAGTATGACGGTTTTGGAAATTGGAATAGCAATGAACACACATCAATGACATCGCGTTATTAAGCGACGCTCGTGATAACTTTCACGCGTTGCCGTTCCGGCGGTTTAAGATATTATATATAGGTATCTTATTTAATAATTTCACTAGTTTATCGCGCCCTTCAACCGAACATAGCTTATAAAGCAAGTTGCTTGGCGGCTGACACAGGTCAACAGAACCCACGAGAATGACTTTTTAGAAGTAAAGTGTACTTAGGTGAATTGTTCTATATCTACTGTAATGGTACTATCTATACTGTAACGATAGGTCTTTGAACGGCAATGGTGATTTGCCTCTCAATCAAGCAATTTGCTATTCCATAAGTGAAACTTACCTTTCACACATCTTACTACAGATAGTGTCTAAATGAGCCCGATCATATGCATGACAGATGCGGGGGCACTCGTGGCCGCACTTCAATCGGAAGCTACAGTTTAAGAGGCAACCGCCTTCCGGTGATTTCTCAAAGTCTTCGACTTTTGATATCTGCATTATGGAAATAAGAACATTATTATACATAAGAGATGCGTCGTGTACTAGAGATTTTGAAAAAAAATGTATTAATATTTCTGATTAACTTATTGATGATTGAAACAATGATAATAATCAAAATTAATAATAATAAACAATCCTGGATAATACCCACAGTGTCATCTAGCTCCAAGCTAAATATAGCTTGTATCATGTATTGTCAACTGATATAAAATACATTTTATTTGTAAATACATACATAATATACATAGAAATGATCTTCAATCAAAAAAACCAAAAAAAAAAAGAACTGAAATCATCAACAGATATACTCATGAAAACAATTTCTCATAAATACTCATGAAGGAATTAATAAGCGAACATCGGAAATAAAGCGGTGTGCTAAACAGTTAGACCACCGAGGCCGTCAAAATAGATAATAAAAGAGAAAAAGGGGCAGACTAGCTCCTTGTCATATTGGAATGAAATATACGAAATGTAAGTATGAGATTACCACGAACTCTAAAATTGACAATGCATCTAGCTATCACATCTGGGATAATAGTCCTGAAGAAATATTACTATAATTATAAAAAAAAAACTACTGCTAAACTACTAAACTATTAAATTACACTGTAATCTATTGTTCAGGGTTATTTATTGTCGAATTAATTTTTTTCTGATATATTTAAAACTTTATTAGGTGTTGTAAAAACCCTTAAGCCAGTGTTTCTCAAGTTGGGGTCCACGCCCCACACGGCTATTTGATTGTTAAGGATTAGGTAGGGCAATTCGAAAATATACTCAACATGAGTTTAACCCTTACTCTACGCACCATTTAAATGCAATGCAAAATTGAACGAAAAAAGCAAATTATTAAATAATTCTTTAAACACTAAATTATATTAATATAGGAAAATCTTCATTAAAAATATTTTGAATTTGATTTTCAGTTTTTCATTACGTTTAGAAAATTTACCTACTATGTTTCATTAACGATTTCCTAGTAATTTCTTCCTAAAACAATGTAAACAAATCAATTTTTTAATATTAGAAATTATGTATGTTACGGTGGGGCATTGCACAAAAAATGTTTGTGAAGCCTTAAGCCTTATAAGGGGTCTGGTGTAAAAAATATAATAGTGAGGTAAATACATACATACTTTGGAAAGGTTTTTTATTTGTATTGAACAACCTCCCTTTGTTTCCTGATATAATTTATATTCGGATCCGAATGGTACCTATATATAAAAATCAATCATAGGTACTAACGGTAGTGGTTCTGCCCAGATGGTTGTCACATACTAATTTCAGTTCGTAACCCAATGATCCATTGCTTTCTAAGGTTGTCCCAATTTTACGCCACAATTCGGAATTGTTGGTCAAAATATCAATGTTACCAAATATGTACATTCCTATAAAGAGTAAAATAGATTAGTTCAGATACTAATAAATAAAATGATTGCTAATTTCATTTAGTTTATTATTAATTTAATATACGCACAATTTATTTAACAATATTTTAGTCAAACCATTTGAAATACTTATAGATTTGAAAAAGACAGAATGTAATAAATTTATACAAGTGAAAGCTTTAATATCAGCAATTACAATATTAAAAAATACAGATAAAGAGTCAATAAAACGGTAAATAAACTTTTATTTAGGAGATAACATAGTACCGAATTTCATGATTATTTTTATAACCGACTATAACTAACGGATTTAATGATCAATAAATAATTTACTATTTGTTAATTCTTTGTCCATTCTGTATTCGTGGCAGATGCGGTTTATATTGTTTCTCAATGACCGATGTAAATGGTGCTTTGCTGCGTAAACAACTACCCTATGTTAAATGCAAAGATATTTGTTAATTTTTCTCTATCTAGAAGTTCTCAATCCTGGGTATTTCAAACTATACAGGAAATCATTGAAATATATATTCAAAATTTCATCCAAATTGTTTCTGCCATTTAGAAGTTAGGTGACAAACACATTAACATAATAGTTATAAGATAATAAAGATAAAACGAACCTTCTCTGGCTCTCGATAAAGCTACACACACTCTATTTTCAGTGGACAGAAATCCAATTTTGTTATCTATATTGTTTCTCACCAGTGATAGAATAATTATTTTTGACTCTTCTCCTTGATAATTATCAACAACAGTGATTTTTACTTGAGATAGAAAATGGTACGATGAACGTTGCTGTAAAATAAAACCAAACATATTTAACATAAGTAATACTTGGTGAATTCTTAGTAATACATGTTTAAATATTTAGTATATAATAAATATAATAACTAAAGTAATAGAAACCGGATTGAATTAGCAACACAACAATAGCAAATATATTTACTATTAATATTTTGACTTAGATGAGTTACGTAGAAAACATTTTCTTTATTTTAAGCTAACTGACCCGACAGTCTTTTCGTGCGTGTTTGTTACCAAATTATATATCAATATAAATAAAGAAAACCGTGCAGTCCAATGCGGTTTGAAAATTTTGAAGTTTGCAAATTTTGAATTACCTACACAATTTCCTTAATTTTTAGTTCCGTAAGAATGAAAAGATCTATCAATTCGGTCAAGCTGGTCTTAAGTTATGGCGTGACCAATGCTAATATGGATTTACCTTCACCTTTATATATATATATATATTATATATATATATATATATATATATATATATATATATATATATATATATATATATAGCTGCTACCAATTGTTTGAAAATATCGCATAGGTACACGATTAACATAATATACATATACAATACGAAAATTCGCAAATTCTCATGACTTTTTCTGAATTAGCTCCCATTTGGTTACCTCCCTCCAGATATCGATCCTCCGATCTACCCTCTGTACATTTTAAACGGACATCAAAATTGACGACAGCCTGAGTCGAGGTTAGGATCTTAACGGTGGGCCTTTAGACTACTAAGTAAAACTTATAGATTAGAGGTTAGTAATTCCTACAATGTCATGAAGTAAGGAATAACGTATATGAAAAGTACAGACAACTAAAACAACTTCCGAAATTGAACTGTTATTCTAACTTATTAGTAACTCCATAAATCTAAATGAGATAATATAAATATACAACATAGTTGAGTGTGATCACTATTTAAGTCCAGTTTCTATTGCTTTATTGTTCTGACTAATATTTATATGTAACACCAACTTTTCTCATATAAAACATTTGGCCGGAATATGCGGCCAGTATCGTTACGTCCTCAGGTTTGTAGTCTTGTTGCATGAGATAGTTCGCGAGACCGAGCGCCAAGTCTGCTTCTTTGTGGTTTGTACGACTCATACTGTCGTCCGTTTCCTGTAAGTACAATAATTTTATTTAATGCTTTATTAATTTTTAAAATTGTATATGCTCATAATTGTGATTACCCACAATTATGAGCATATACAATTTGAAAAACATATAAAGAGCATATAAAGTTCTAGCCAACGACTATACTTACTTGTTCCTTATGATCGTGAGTAAAAAAAAATAAATTTTTTGCCATTCCACGCACGGGGAGAAATTCATTCACCGATGGATGATTCTTAAGGTCGGGGTATATGTGTGGAACGATGAGTGAAGCGATCTCTGGTCTCATGCGGTGTTGGACGCCTAAACGCCGGTTGGGAATATTGTTTCTAATCATTCTTTCAAAAAGGGACACTTCTAAATCATAATGTTTGGCAAGTTTCATGTATGCCGCTGAAGGTCTCAACTGTTGGTGGTCACCTAAGAAAGTAACATTAAATTAATGAGTTGTGTATAGTCAGGAACTTATGTATTATATGTTCGACGTACGGTGGTCTATTTAAATATGATTGTTTGTATCGGTCTGGGTGTTTTCTATGTATAGTATGTATGTATTTACAAAAAAAAAACTATGTATCATTAGTTATCTAGTACTTGGGTCTAGATGGCGCTGTCTGAATTGTCCTGAGATTATTAGTATTATTATTATAATACATTATATTAAAATAATTACAAATAATGAGAAGTGAAGATTAGAGGGTAAAATTCGTCCATCGTCTGTAAATACATAGAACCACTTAGGTACAAAAAATCTGAATACATTATTTTCACAAAATATAAAACCATAACTCAATACGAGAGTAAATTCCATTTACTGTAAAAATAATCATTAAAATACATTTCAGATCTGTTTTAGTGAAGATACGGACATTCTTTTGCAAAGATACAAACATAGAACACCATGCAAAAATAGAGAACTCACGATGTTCTCTTTTCCTACCTAGTTGAAAAACAATGGGTGTTATTAAGTAGGTATATACTTACTTAAAGTGATTGGATAGATTCCATTCCTTTCTAGTCCACCATAGTAAATATATACATTATGTTATGTATATTTATATGAAAGTGAGCTAATTTAGCCTGCTTACCTATTAGAATGAGATGCTGGCAGCCACCACTCAGCGATGCAACGATGTGCTGTTCCAACACTTCCGCCGCCTCCTCGACAATTACTAATGATCAAAATATTATTCACTCAAGACAATGTAAATAAAGATTTTAAAAATATACATTTACTTGGATATACTTATTTTTGTACCCCATTATAATATATGGGAGATTTTTTATGTAACTGGTTTTTATGTAATTGCAAAGAGAGAGCCGTCGCCTAAATACATGACCACCACGGCGGACAGATGTCATCATGACCATGGTACTCCAAATGCTTAGCATTTCCGGAGGACTGAGGTGCATGACTCCGTATTCTTTATTTCCCTGCCATATTTCACCTTTCAATCGAAATTCAGTATAAAACAAGCTGCATGGCGCCTGATATAGGAGACGCAAAAAACTTAGCATAAAGGCTAACTGGTAAACTAGATATAAAAATACAAATACCAGATATAAAAAGATTATGAGGAATAATAGCCCATTACTCATTGTTATCCTGTATGTGATATTTTGAAACATTCCTTCGGTCTCATATGGTTCGGTATAATACATGTCATTAAGCAGTAAACTGGTGGCAATAAGTTGGGTAGTTCTCCGTTCACTCTCGCGCAGACAAGCAAGTAAGCGGTACTTATAGTAAAATTAATTCTGATGAAGAAGACATCTTGTACTTGCAACTGTTTCATCACAGTAATAGTGGGTTGTGTAATAATTTTGATTGATTAAAATTAATTATTGTTATCATTGCTTTCTGTAAGTCTAATATAATCATTATCATATTTAAAATAAGACGTAATTTAAAAATATAATTGCTAAAAAAACAATATAATGAGAAAGAATAATGGGGGGAGGGGGTAAAGCTTTGCTTACTTTTGCTGACAAGGGGGATGGGGGGTAAATAAGATAAATTATTACTTGAACAGCCCCATAATTTATAAGACGTAAAATATAATTTAGTAATTATATTACAAAAATTATATAATTTATAAGATTTATAATTTAGTAATTATATTACTATATTATATTACATATTAGCGTAATTTAGTATCTAATATGAATATAATTGATTAACTAATATGATCTATATTGTATGTATTTGACTTTTGCAATAAGTGTTGTGAAATAACTATTTGTAGTTCATAACCGCCGCACCGAATAGGTACTTCTTTGGAATTTGATAATAGTGTTTACAATTTATTTATAGTGATGATGACGATGATATATATATATATATATATTTAAACTTATTAGTATGTTGGCTTACCAATGGGTGTTTCAAGGACCTGTAACATTTTTTGCAATCGGGCTGCACCTGTAGTTGTAATACCGATCACTCTTGCATTCACCATATGTAAGAGATCGAAATACATTCTTGCATCTTCGTACACCTTTCGCTCAGTTTCGTATTCGATCTGTAAAAAAGATTATTAACATGAATGTTAAATAGTTTTGCAATATTCTACTTAAATTTGTACTTATATTGTACAACATGTTCACAGATATAAAAAAGTGTAATAATGACAGAAGTATACGGAATAAGACCACAGCTCCAGCGTTGTTTAGAGTTATATGTATTTGTTTACAGCTATTTAGGTAATGTGGTGTGTGTGTATACGAATGTACCTACTAGTATATGTAGACTACTTGTAGTCCACAAGACATACAGGTTTCTAGTGCTTGTCATGACAAAATCAAGTTAGCACGCTAAAGATATACGCGATCTACTAACTCTATATTAGAGCATTGTTACTAAAGCTATATCTTATTTTCACAGTTTAATCGGTGAACCACCAACAGAAGTTAAAAAAGCTTGTAACATAATATAGATATTCATATACTTACTTGTAACGTGGACACTTGTTCATTTAACTGTGCAGCTATGTTCTCTATCCATGAGAAATATGTTCGCCATCGTTCTACGGACGGCATCTGCTTCACATTAGTTTCGTTAAGTTTTATTACAGTTCTATTAACGACAGCTCTTTTCTTCATGTCCTGTAAATATAAAAAAAATGTACTGCAAGTCTAGTATACGCAACACATGACATGCTCAGATTTCGCAAGAAATGGTTGAATAGCGGCTGCGGTCGAACCTATGGCCTTCTCGTATAAGTTTGGTTTGTTATAAGAGTTTCCATCACAAAAACTATTAAAAATATTAATTAATAAAATAAAGTTTTAAGCCAGGTACCTTCTGATTGGAGTAATAACGTACTAGCACCATTGACACACACTGATTTAAATGTATTTTGTATGCATAATAAAAAAAATATCTATATAAATTATGTATAAGTGTGCGAAATTTCATACTTCTCCATCTGCACAATTTTCGTAAAAGGGGTACAAAGTATTGGCCTCATGTATTATATATAACGATATAGAGCGGCTGGCGATGGAATTAATAGAATACTATAAATGCCCTCGCTAATTTAATATACTATACTACTGCTAGCTGCTTGGCGGCTGCAATATGTGAGACTATTTAAGCAGTACGCAGACGACTTTCTACAGTCAATCTCATCAAATAGCCAGTACGCTTTTACAAAAGATGACATTTGAATACTCTTCGGCGTGATCATTCAAAGCCCAGCCATTAGATTTTACAATATAGTAGGTTTCTCTGTTTTACCTATTACATTCACCAAGAGGCTTACTTTGTGTTTCGGTTGAGTGATTTTCATCACTCAACATATTCAAGGCATTTAAATTAATATATTAATACCTTACGACATCTTAATAAGTAAATAAATAACTCTAGATAATTAACACAGCGCCATCTAGTCCCATGGTAAGCAGACCTTGTGTTATGGGTACTAAATAACTGATATAAATATTTGTTTATAAATACAAAATATACATAAAAAAAGCGCCCACACCGATACAATCATATTCATGAATACAAACATTTGCACAAATACAAATAAAGCGGTGTGTTAAACCGCTAGACAACCGATGCAGTCAAGTTACGTGAATACTTTATTAATTAATTATTTATTACGGACATTAAATAACGCTATTGAAGACATTGCCATCATAATATCGTCTTCAAGTTGCTCATAATAATTCTGTGATTTTCCTTTTATTTCTTTTTGTGACTTCCAGTATTTTAAATTCTTCTGCGCTTTCATCAAAGAAAATGATAAGGTGAAATTTAGATTTTCTATATTTTGATTAGCATTATCGGCAAAAATATCCTCATCGTCTAAGTTTAGTTCAGTTCTTTGATATATATCGTCGTCAACATTATTAACAATTTCAACACTCTCTTCTATGTCTTCCGTGTTCTTGACGTAAGTTATATGTTCAAACAACCATGATTGTAAAGGGTCGCTTTGATAATATGTACTCAGAATTGTACTATCTGGTTCTAATATTTTAATAGTATCATATGCAAGAATACCATTTTTCAAATTTTGTATAGTATCATGTAGTTTTTTTAACTTAGACACAATAACGTTAAATGTACGTTTCTGTTCATAATATACTGTTTCATGTTTAGTATGTCGAGTTCGGGTAGTTCGTAACTTATTTATGTTATATTTTGATAAAGCTTCATTTCTGGACTGACCGCCGATTCGAACAATCGAAGTTGTAAATTTCAATATATGCTCAAGAAATTGGTCAAGAGCATGGTTCGTGTAACAGATCACAAGAATTTGGTTGGTACTATTCTTCAGTAGTGTTTCTGCTATTTTTACTCCTAGAAACGTTTTTCCAGTGCCAGGCGGACCCTGAATAACTGCAATTTCATGCGTTAAAGCCAATTTATATGCCTCATACTGACTAATGTTTAAACCCAATTCTTTTGCAGTAGGCCATGTGTCGTCATGTAATACATAAAACTTTTTAGTAATAATGCAATCATTGTCACCTAAATTTATATGAGCATTGTCATTATCATTCGTTTTTATAATGTTTACATTATAAGCTGTTGCATTATTTACAAATACTGGAGGTGGAGGAAATGAGGCCTGTAAAAATGTACAAAAAATTATAATAAAACAATTATGTACCGGTTATAAGGTATTAGGGGCAAAATTTAATTAATTAACGAAAAACTTCATCTGTGTAATCGTAAGGTTTAAATTGTTTTGTTGACGAGTTTACACTCGGTTTACTAATCTAAATATGTGATTTCACACGTAACATGCATCGTCTTATATTTCGTTTATATTTCAAACTTTAACAAAACTTTCACTATATGTTAGGGGGCGGATTCGTCATGCTTACACAGTAACATACTTTAGAAAAAAAGAACGGATTGTTCACTCTATACTATTCAAAATTTTATTTTGTTAAATCAACTTACATTTATTTCTACTACATAATTACAGTGTACAGTTATCATGGTTCTATTAATACTAAAACTGCAGGTATGAGTTTGGGCATGATTTTTACAAAATCATCAATAAAACTTTGTAGGATTAGATTCCATTTTTCTAATAATAAAAGTTAGGTATTACGGTTAGCTTTTCTTTTTTTCATTATTCTAAATAAAAAGAATAGCTTCCTGTTACAAATAAGAAATCCGTGCGTAGTAAGGGCAAGTTGTAGGTACATACTCACTTCTACTTTAACGATGTATTTCTGCATAGTCAATTTCTCAGGGAAATTGGGATTTTGAAGTACGGTCAATACGTGATGATAGGGCTCAAAGTATACGTCGCTTTCGATCATAGTATATGTATCTCCAGGTTTCAGTTGTACATTTATATTGACCATAGCTATCGGCAACTGTGAATACAAATAATTTTGATTTAAACTATGTATCACAAGCTAACAAAAATATTTTCAAGGTAAAAAGTAGATTAGATTTACAAGGGTAAAATAAATAAATTTATTTTACATAAATGACCAGATTCTTGATAGTACAACGCGTGACTGTTTGGATGGCTATAATATCATAGGAGACATTGTGGTGTATAGCATTTACTGCAAGAAGGATCTACAAGTTTCTAGTACCAATACTGTTTTCTTTCAACAGGGTTAATAATCTTGTTTTTTCAAAATTAATTAAACTATTACAGTACAAAAGTAACTCAAAGAAACAAGACCGGCGCGTAGAATTACCAGAGAAGTTTCATGTTTTTTTATATATTATTGGCGTTACACACAAGCTGACGGCCCCTGATGGCCCGCCAAAATACTTGAACAGCACTAACGTCATGTCATCATGTGACGCCCGTAAAATGTTATGTTGCTCAATCTTCGATTTCACTGCCTTACCCTTAAACTGGAACAACTTCTTAAATAAGCTGTTTGGAGGCTAAAGGTGACGACGTCCTCCTCCTGAAGGCCAAGAATCTTTTTCGTTTTTGTACGAGGATTCTTGTACGGTTGGCATCCCTAGACTGGACATTAGGTACCCACCTGTCCCTTACTCAAGTAATTAATATCCCTATCTATAACTGTAGCTACTGCGAAATTCTTGAAACCATCTTTGGACAATAATAATAGAGAACCAAATAATAGCCGCTTGCTGCTTTTCCAATTAGTTTTGAAAAAATATCTATTGGTATATTTGTCTATTTCTACCAATAAGCCAATTTTGCTGTTGGATACATAAGGTGATAGAAACTTCACGTTGTTGTACACCCTGAAATAACGTAATAAATATATTTAATATATTATAACCATCATTATTCATTATATCATGGCATAGTCATATCAACATTCATGTTAATTGGCCAGATAAAATTCATAATAGGCCAATAGCAATTAAGTTTCCCATAAAATCATCCGAACACCATAGCTTGTAATACATAATAAATAAACGGGCTATATAATTAAATGGATCTACATATATCACACATCTACATTATGTAGATCCTATTAATTATAATGTGGCAATAGCGAGGTGCATATTGAGCTCTGAATTCTCCTTATAAGGTATTTTTATTAAGTTTAGGTATGTATTCTGTATATATTAATTTGTTGTTGTATCTTAAAAGTATCTGTTTTACTAGTTTTTATATCAATAACTATGCGTGGAGACCGAATAAATATGATAATATATTATATTTTGTACATTTTAATTTAGCTAAAAAGAAATTAGCCTTACAATTTTGGATAAAATCATTCTTGGGATAAAGTCATTGTAGTCGTCTGTCTTAATGTATTTGTATAGTTCTGTTATATTTTATACTCTATACTGATAGTACCTTTAGAGATTTAGTTTATTCATTAATTGTAATAATCCTGGACAAACTTTAAAAAATATTTCATAATAACTTTTTCTGTATGTGACACAGGTTGACACAGTGATACTTTTTATATTGAGCATAGATTACATAATAACGCCACAAATGAAAGATTTGCGTGGCGGATTATGTATCTATATATTGACAATCTGCGATATATATTTTACTAGCTACTACTATTTCTATTTTAATAGGGACCCATCACGACCTACGGGCCCAGAAAAGCAGCACCACCTATCGGGTCGATTTCATTTAATTTTTAACCAGCCAAGAACTAATAGAAAGAGCAGCTAGGTAACAAATAACCTTTACACAGGAAAAAACAAAGTCTCTTCAGCTGTCTGTACGCTTAGATCTTTGGAACTACGCAACAGATTTTATGCCGTGTTTAGCTATAGATCTAGAGTATCTATTTTAAAAGGAAGGTTATGTTTTCAGTCAATTGTAATTCCAATAATTGTAAATTTTAAGAGCAGGGATTTAGTACCTAAATACAAGCTCATACTTAGTTTAGGTACCAGGGAACTGCGTAAAATATAAATATTGAATGTAAATAAAATAATAATAATTATAATGTCTACCTACATTGCAACTATGCCAACCCCCCGGCTTGGCCGGCAGGTCTCTAGTTATAAATATTTTCACAACTATTGCCATAATAGGAAGTGGTGTATCAGACTTTAAACTAATCATAGTAAGTAAATAGGTAAAGTAAAAATACAAAACTTACCGTATATTATCATATTTCCCTTTGCTGGAATTTTCCAAGTACTGTACTAAAATGGAGACATTAAATTAGCTTCTATATATACATATATATATATACCTACTGTCAAAGAAAAGTTTATAATATCTTAGGTGATTACATATATATCTAACTACCTTAAACATCAAGCAAAACAAACATATCATCATGATTATTAACCCAGATGGGATAGTCAGTGAAGACCTGTTAACTATCGAATATGTGACATGACATTTCCCAGGGTATATTTGAACCCAACGTACCTGGGGAAGAGCCTACCTACCTAGCCATTAATGTAAAGCCATAAATAAATGAATAAAATGCCAAGATTTACAAGGCGATACAATTGGCGTTATAAGGAACATGGTGTTCCAGAATCCACTTATCTTTTTTTTACTAATTTGCTTAAAAAGGAGTAGGGCTTTCCATGGTCCTCTCACATTAATAATGATCTCGTATTTGGGTTTATTACCTGGTGTAACCCTAATTCTGAAAAGCCCTTTCTAACAGCGGATGACTAATTAGTAGCCTAATAGTAAGTTATACCTACTAGATATTTAGTTGCTACAATTTTGTCGTAAAACGTTCCAATGTCTTTAAAAGAGATAGGTCCCTCAACTCAAATGCTTATAGAGTGTGTAAAGATGTAGAACTTTAGCCGTTTATAGTGTTAAACTATCAGAGTTTTTTTTAATACTTACTTAGTCCTTTACGAAGCGGCCCGTAGCAGTCTTCTAGCATTAAACGGAATTGTATATCCAAGTAGTGATCAACGTCTTTGTATGCACCATTAATGATATTCGGGCGTAAAAATGGCGGCCGCATCAAATGATGACGGTTTGGTATAATTGGAATAATACGAAAGTCTTCTGGCGGCTCGTTTTCTTCATGAGTGTTAGATTGCGTTTGTATCTGAAATAATCATTAATTTATTGTACCTATTTCTAAAATTGTGGAAACAAATATTATAATTACAGTTTTTTAAATAATATTAATAGATACACATACACATTATAATATCTAAAAATGTCAGTTTAGACCCTTGTGCCAGGTCACCTGGTCAGGTGCCCATGTGGTGAGCTTTTTCATAATGGATAATAATGGAATGGTGCAACTGCCTCCACTGTTTACGCTGCGGTGTACTGGTGGAGGGAGACAACATGAGTGACCTCATACTTATACTCAGGTCAGTCAGCCCACAGTAGCAAATTCACCAGGAATTGATCACGATGGTTTCCAGTGGTAACCGCGTGGAGGTCAACTTGACTTGAATGTATGGGACATTGCTAGCAATGAGGTCCTTAATTCAGATGGCTATAGTACCTACGTTAAATTATCCTTTAGCCAAAGAGGTGGCTTCCGCTTAATAAGAATAACGGTTATTAATACTATATCTGCCAAGCTACACAGATAGTTTGTGGTTTTCTTTCATATACTTTTACTACTTTTAATCTGCTCCGAAATAAATGTCTCTTGGATATCTATAATTATCTAATTATATATTAGGTGTTTTGTATGTTACATCTACTAACTGAAACCTAAATATTCTTTAAATGATCTATTTTCCTCAAGAAAAATTAATAGTATCTTGGGTATGTCTTAAATGTCCGAGTAGATACGTCTGATTTTTTTATTTTGTTTAATGAATACAATTTTATCTATACAAATATTACATAGAGAAAAGATTTGTTTGTTTACATTGAATACAGGACCGATTTGAATAAATGCCCCATTGTATAGAATCGTACATTATCCCTGATAAACATAGGTGACAAAATAATTTTAAAAACGTTAGGGATCCGAAAGACATCTATACCAACGTGAATAAATCTAACCCAACGTGTGAAAAAAATCCCTATATCGCGTACATTAACGCGCGGAAATAATTAACAACAGACAAAAATGACGTACCACTGTTTTATAGAGGACATTAATAGCTAAGGGTATGGAAATTGGTTAAGTACTTACTAACACTTGTTATTATTGTTTGATATTTCAGGCGTCCATAATCTACGGTAAACGTTTATGAACCAAGATAGGCCGTATACTTGTTTGCCATCATTCTGGTATATAAAATATTTTATATAAATATAATAATACTTATATAAAATATTTATTTTATCTATACAAGTCTATGGTGAAGACATATCTTCTGGGTAATCGCGCTACATCCTAGGTTTAACCATCATTTCCCATCAGATGAGGTAAGACCAAGCGCAAACCCATTATTAATAAAAAAAAAAAACATATAAATAAAATTGGAGTGTCTGTTTGTATTATTGAAATAACTGTCTTTTACTACATGCATATGAATATAAATACGGTACATACATATAAACAAACAAATAACCAAAATATTTTTTAAATGGCTGGACCGATTTTGAATTTTTGAAGACTTATTGGTAGCTGATGTAATAAGGTGTAACTTAGGCTATTTTTATTTGCGAAAAGTTCTTATATTAGAAAATAAAGTTAAAATTCCAGTCGCGGGAACAGCTAGAATAAAATAAATGGCATTGAATAATAAAGTACTCTCCATTATGCTAGTGTATACCAATACATACCAGATGTTTTGTTTCCCACTCCGTCAATTTATTTTGCAATTGAGTAATTTGATTTGAATATTCTTCTGGTAAACTAAATCGCCGCATCTTTATTAACTCTTCTAAGCTTTGCTTTATAGTATAGTTTATTAGTGGTCGATAAAACCTTACAGCCGTGGATGGTGATAAATTTATTATACATTCCAAAAACTTTAATAAATTCCTCCAAAAATTAATTGGATTCTTCCAATATAATTGATTTCTGCTTTTGCTCTCATCTTGATATGGTAAATCCATTAGATAGTTTCGAAATTGAGATATAAATAAAGGATTACCAACGATCAAAATCATTTTCAGTTTCAAGTCATTAAAAGAAGATTCTGAAGCTTTTGATAGTATTTCAATAACCAAAACAAAAATGTTTTGTATTTGTGTAGATGTCTTAAACAGGTTTTCAAAAAATTTTTTTTTGTCATTAATCTCAGCAAGGACGTCATCCGAATTTGTTATTTCTTGTAATGTTTCCAGGGGATTCTTTCTCATCCGCACGTGCCTATCTGTAATGTAATTATTTAAGGAAAGTTCACAATACAAGTAAGTTTATTTATTTAACTATTGTTCATCCCTCAACCTATCACAGCCTTATATATGTTAATGCTACCACAGATGAGATAATATATGCTACTATCTGTTTTTTTATTTATGATAGTTTTAATATATTTGATTCAAGCTTATTGAAAAATATATAATAAATATTGACGATATATATGCATATAATAACCCCATGCTTAACATAACTATAATAACAATGAAAAATAATAAATAGTTCATCTGTTCATTTTGAAAGTGTTTATTTTTTGTATGTGAATAATTTATTTACATCATATGGATATTATGAAATTACTACTTTATGGATTTATATTATTTATCCACTACAAATGATAAAGGATCTACACCCATAATGCAATATATCAAAATCGGTTGGAATTTGATCACCATTAGAAAAGCTCATAACGGTAGTCAAATTTCCGCACTGAATATTTCTAGTCTTAAACATGCTGTTTGTAGCGGAATTAAAAACAATAATATAAATTCTTACAGTAGTAAAATGGACTTGCGCAAAATAATATATAATTCGATAAAATATTGTTTTAGATTATGTAATTACAGAGTACGGGGGTACGACACCCTAGTTCTCTGAAATGGCAACGCATGAGAGGTATCATTTTTTTTATACTACGATGGTGGCAATCAAGCATACGGTCCATCTGATGGTAAATGGTTACCGTAGCCTATGAACGCCTGAAACACCAGGGGTATCACTTGCGTGTTGCCGACCCTTAAGAAATCTTAATATACCCTTTTTGAAAAACCCCATGCTGTAGGTCGTGGAAAAACCTCGGCAGGAAGTTCATTCCACAATCTAAGTAATCGGGAGGAAACTCCTCTGAAACCGCACTGTTCGGGACCACTTAGGTTCCAGTATCATGGACGACATATGATGACGTGGTGCCAATGATCAATGGTCCTGTTCATGTACATAAGCTACGGTTACCAATTACCATCAGGTGATCCTGTATCATTGCAGTTACAAATATAGGTATACTCATACGACACTTTTTGAAAATGTGCTGCACAGTCTAATTGAAAGTGCATACGAACAGAATTTGCACACGTCGAGAACAGAATGCGGCCGATGTGCCCCAATTTCAATATATTAGTTTGACAGTTATTCTTAATTTAATCTTAAATCTGTAAAATGCTCTGTATATTATTGAGCCACTATGCCTAACTGCGTTACGACTTAAAAGACATATTTATTTTTTTATGTCCACTCGATATTGACTATCGTCAGTCGTGTAATTTTAGATCTAAGTTAGAAAATGTACAGAAATATTCCCTCCTTGTACTCGTAAACTGCGAAGCAACAAGAACCTACAGAGTAAAACTATTCTTGAAGTATCTAGCTTAATTTCGGTGTAGCTACTTCTAACTTACTATATAGATAACAACGATAACAACTTAAACTTATAAATATTTAAAAAAGTGTCATTGAAAAAATCTAAAATGAAAATATATGGCACTTTCTTACGTGAGAGTATTATCAACTTGAAGTTCTGAACTGATCGTTAGGGGACTTGGCGTTTTAAACGATATGATAGATTACTACTTGTGTACCTCTTGGAGCTGACGATGATCCTCTCCTGTGTTGTGCTTGTTGGCCTTGGTCATCGTGAAAATGGTGGTAACCGGAATTTTGGGAGCTACCACCACTCAGTTCTCCTGTTAAGACATGTGGCATGTTCCCAAAACCTGTAATTTACAAATTTGGGGTTTATAACGTATGTTACGTGTCATATATAATAAGTACATTAAAGGTTAATACATAACAATAATAAATTTTGATAGAAAGATGTGCTCCCTACACCTTATTCCTGTACACCTTATCATTCAACCTAATTTAAAAAGTAAGGCATATAAATCTTCTACACACTCCACAGTACAAATCTGTTTACGTGTGAGCGAATGAGGTTGTTATTGAAGATTTCCTTTCATAAAAAAGGGCATTTTCTACTGATATTCAGGGTCAATCAATATATTTCTTTCATTATTTCCTCTTTTGGATAGGATATAACTATCCAAATGTCCAAACGCACATTTCACCAATAGATTCATTTTATGACACCAAATTAAAGATTAATTAGTTTTTTTTATATTTTTCATGTAATCACGATTTTATAAGGAAATTTCAGTTCCGGTTGAACTGAGATCGAAGCCGATTCTGTTTCTGTTTTGGTTACAGCCATGAAAACTACTTTGGGTGGGACACTAACACTGATGTGTATTATGTTCATAAACTAAAAGTGTTATATGGGAGCAGTGCGATTATATAGATTTTTTATGATCTTGTGATAAATTTATTAGTCATTTTTAGATTTCTACTTTGTTGAGTTCCATGAGTTTAACTGCTTACTTTGGGCTTGGTACCTTTTGCGACTAACAACGTTGCCTGTTCTCTATTACATGAAATAATAGATTACTAGTTATATACCTCTCGGAGCTTTCGATGATCCCCTCCAGTTTTGATGTTGTCGTTGGCGCTGGTCATCGCGAACTTGGTGGTGTCCGGAATTCGGAAACCTGCCACGTCTCGGTTCTCCTGGTGAGACATGTGGTATGTTCCCAAAACCTGCAAATTACAAGATTGGAGTTTATGAGTTAATCAGCTGTGAGTGACAAACTAAAATTACATTACATGTCATATATATATGGTGTGTGCAGGTGCTGGCGTCGACTATTGAGGATACCGTGGACAGCCCACCGTACAAACGTCTCTGTACTAATAGAGCTTAAATTGGAATATTCACAGCGGCTGTCTTCTACTTGTCTGCAGCGCATTGTACGATACTTCGGACACATCGCGCGGAGGGATGTAGACAATATGGAGAGACTGATGGTAACAGGGAAGATAGAAGGTAAAAGACGTCGAGGCCGAAGTCCCATCCGATGGTCAGATCAAATATCACGTCAACTGAACATTACTGTCAGCGCTGCAATACATCAGGCATCTGAGCGCAGCAGATGGCGCCGGCTAGTCGACAAGATAGTATAGAGTCACGATCCTCAGCAGTGAGGGAACGATTAAGAAAAAGAAGAATATATATGTATATACATATATGACACGGAAATAAAAATGGCATTTTCTACTGATATTCAGGGTCAATTACCCTCAATAGATTTCTTTCGTTATTCCTCTTTTGGCTAGGATATATCTATACAAATGTCCAAAGTACCGCAATTTTACCAATACCTTCATTTTATAACAGTTGTATTTTAAAGATAAATTATTCTCTCTCTTCCAGCGTGAAGAACCTGGGAATTATCATTGGTGAGATAATTCGTAGACAATTTTCTTCACGCCACTCGCTTAGACGCCTCCAGTTTTAGTCTCTAGGTACTAAATTGTTTCTAGCTCTAGAATTATGCCGACAGTGCCTTTCCAGAGCATTTAGTGCAGCTAGTTGGTAAACTGGAGCGTTTGCAAAACCTATGCATTAGATTAGGTGAATCTTTGGTTTACGCAAGTGTCATCAAAGTATTGTATATTGTAAACACCTCAACTGGCTTCCTATTCGTGACCGTCGTAACTTCCATATTCTTACCATTTTCTATCAGATCCTTTACAACTCCTGATCGCTCATGTACCTGGAGGAAGGATTCCGGTGCCGGACTGATAACCGTCTTTATTCCAGCCAAAATCTGGTTTTGGCAATACGGAGGGTATATACGAGTTATTATTGTACTGTATTTAAATATTTAAATAAATAAAATGCTAAATTGCGCTTCACATTTAATTAGGCCGTTCCCGCCATTTTTACAAACAGGCTCTGTCAACTGCACAGAGTACGTTATGAACAATATTAATTATGCCACAGACTATATATACTACAATCCCTCCCCCAATTATTTTAAAAAGCATACAAAATGTTTTTTTTTTTTTACAACAAATTACATTTTAAAACTAATACTTATAATTAACTTTTTTGTTTCTCGTGGATCTTATTGGATTACGGCCTCTATTTATAACATTGGGCACTGCTTCTGTAACTAACATATCATCAGCTCGAGTATCCTCCGCTATTTTCGTTATAGTTGTTGAATCTGATAGACCAGATATTCCTTCTCCTGGGTCTATATCTATGAGCGGTGATGTTATTGTTCCCATGATTCCTTCATTGGCTACTTTTGTAGAACTCTCTTCTGGTATGAATGATTCAACATGTGATGCTTGCGATGGATGTGTGATATGTGACGGTTTTGATGACTGTGGATTGCAGATACTTGGATCTGTTATTATCTCCTCCGGAACTACTGATTGATGTACTGTCTCTGGAACTGTCTCCTCGTTTCCTTTTTTTATATCCTCTACTGTTATTGGTTTTAAAATAGAATCGTCAATAAAGTTTATATAAGTCGTACGATCAATATCAAAATCATCTTCACTGTCGAGCAAACCTACGGAACTTACACTACGCGATAAAAAATCTGCTGCATTATTATCGCCCTTGATGTATTCAATTTTAAAATTATATGCTGATAAAAATAAAGCATAACGCTGCAGTCTATTAGCTGCCATCTCTGGTATTCCTTTTTTATTACCAAAGATTGATAATAAAGGCTTGTGGTCTGTACGCAAAATAAAAGGTACAGATCTTCCATATAAATAATGATGGAATTTTTTAATTGCAAATACAATGGAAGTAGCTTCTTTTTGTATTTGTGCATAATTACGTTCCGTTTTAGACAAGGACCGAGACGCGTAGGCCACTACACGCTCGGTGCCGTCGGGTTGTCTCTGCGCCAGCACTGCTCCTAGACCTAGCGGCCCGGCGCAGAGTGGGAACTTTGACTCATTTTCATCTCATAAATCTATAATTTCTGTATTAATAAAGATATGTACATGATTTTTTTTTCTGATAATCTTAAATATATATACTTTTAAATAATGTATGCTTTGTGAGTAAAAAAATATTTTTAATAGTTATAAATAATTTAGGAATACAAAAAATATAGAATTTGTAGACTTACATTTATGTCCTAAGAAGTTTATACAGAAATAAGTAAATAATAAAGTATCAGCGTAAAAAACCAAAATTCTTATAAAGGTAGCTTACAAGTCACTCAAGAGCTCCTTTTCTTCATCAAAAAGTACTAAATATTTTTAATTGGAAGGTTTTCTTAAACTTGTTATGTATGGGTCAGAGGTGTATAAAAATGCGTGTAGAACATCTTTGTTAGAGGCTACCCTCGAACATTGTCTTGCATGATGAAGCCTGAACTGTTTATAGTCTTTGTTCCGTGACTCTTGAGCATCTTCTGAAAGTTGCCCAAAAGGCAAGACAGAAAAGTAACGTATCACACGTTCACATTTCATTTCATAACATAAAACAGTTTTATTAATTCCTCATATATACTAGTAATTTCTGATGTACAATGATAATTTTGGAAAAATCTTGTGGCTGTATTGCCGTCATTAGTGTTGCCACTAACTTGCTTCGGTTTATCTATATTTAATCCAAGTTCTTCTCTGAACCTTCTTTGTACATAAGCCTTCTTTTGCTTTTTTAAATCTTTATTTTCTGTTGTTGTGGCAGACCATTTTTATTGATTTGTATATTGATTGTAAGATAAATGTAAAATAAGTTCCACGAATGCAAAGTTGAAAGGCCATACTCGTATTGATAGGAAGTTTCATCGACAGGTTTATTTTGTAGTTTTTCTAAATTGTTCATCTCTGTGGGTTTTGCACTGCAAATGGTACATACATTTGATTTCTGCTTTAACGTTAGTAATTTCTATACATTACAATAAAAATAAAATAAAATACAATTTTGGCGGATAGTACGATTCTTTAGCTTCACAAATCAACCTGTATGATGGAAACAATAAGTAATTCTTTGCTATCAAACAACTCCTCATATTTTCGTACTGTGCCTTGTACAGATCCAATGAATCCAATCCAAAAATGCTAAGAGCTTAATGTTTTGAATATGCTGTTATATGTGCCGGTTCATTAAGATTGCTCAATTCATTCTAGTTTTCTGCCGGCAATGCTCGTAAAATATCAATGACGAAACCCTTAAACCCTGTATATATGAGTTCAGTATGAAGTCCACAGGTATCAAGCAAGCCTTGTTTGTCCGTTTCTTTGTCCGAACTGTCTTCGTACGTTTTAGAAGGTATTCCTCTTTTCTCTATCGAAGTAGGAGGTTCAGGTTCGCATGTAGTTTTTTCTAGATTTACAGTGAAAATACCATCCTATCAATTGCTATTTTATTTAAAAACTGTTCTTTCTTTCGACCATATTTCGTATAGCGGTGACGAAAATGAGTTATGAAGGACTTCTGAATACTTGCGATAATTTTTGCTATATTCGCATCTGAAGATTCGGTAAAATTATTTCGTAGTTTGAGATAGAATCAACATAATTTGTATCACTTTAAATCAATAAGACACTTAAGTCGCGTCTGGTACACGAGAATTCACTCATTGGGGTGAGATGAGTAATTAACAATTATTTAGTAATAACAAATGCTTATGAAGAACTGTAATATTTCATATGCAAATACATACACTATTTTATACTTAATAATGGTCATATACGTGTGCAAAATTACTTGATAAAAAATATTTATCATTATGCGCTATAGAATAGGTTTGTATGGGAATGGGAACTATATACTGTGTGAAATAATTGATAAAAGTAAGGCAAAAGATAAAATATATAGTAATAATTGAGCAAAAAGTATTTTTTTGAATATTCAGACAGAGATTCTTAAATAAAGAAAAAAATCTTAATATACGTACTCAGAAAAAACAAATCTCACCATGATATTATACTCGATTTAAATATTTTACGCAGTGAAACTGCAAAAAAAAATGTTATGCCATCAAATTACATTATATTTCCTAATAAATAAAACCAAATTTAGAACTTCGGCAAGCTTCGGCAACTGTCAAATCTCCAAGTGAAAGTCTGAGAAAAGAAAATAGTACATATAACGATATATGGATTTTTAGTTAAATAATATTCGACTAAACTAAATATATTTTATTTTATAGTAAAGTACACATTCTAAGCATTCTAAAATGGTATCGCACTATATGACTTGATATTATTTTGATACTATAAACTTATACCAAACAAATTTAAGTTACAAAATTATTTTTGCATTTTTTTCATTCCTTGACTTTAGAGGCTTTATTCTATGAAGTATGAATAGTCAGAGATTTGAATCATATTTATAATGATAGAGTAACTCTTTGGCTACAATTTGAGGTATTATACAAGCATATCCACGGAGTTTTAGAAAAAGTATTTATGAGATGGCTTTCTTAGGCGAGTTCCCACTGTGCGGCGTCCGCTGTCACTATGGTCTCGTACTCTGGACTGAAATGAGCTAATACCCGATCCGATGACAATTCTAATTTTATTTTATTAAAAGCAGAATTCTGGTCCTCTCCCCAATTCCATTTTGTGTCTTTTTTTAATAATGCATGTAAGGAACTCAACACACTAGACGTATTAGGAACAAAACATCTATAATAGTTCACCATCCCTAAAAATGATTTGAGCTCTGTAACATTCTTCGGACAACTACAATTTAAAATAGCCTTGACCTTACTTTCAGCTTTATGTAAACCATTACGATCTATACGAAAACCTAAGTATTCTACGCTATCCTTAAATAGTTCACATTTTTCTCGTTTTAACCGTAGACCTGCTTCCTGTAATCTTCCTAAAACCTGTTCCAACCTTTCGAGATGTTGTTCCTTAGTACATCCTGTGACTAAAATATCATCTAAAAATATACATGTACCCTCTATATCTGCCAGTAACTGTTCCATTGTCCGCTGGAAGATAAAAGGTGCGTTAGACAAACCAAACACTAACCTATTATATACAAATAAACCTTTGTGGGTGTTAATACATGTTAAATATGTTTCCACCGTACTAGAATCATCTAATTCTAGCTGATTATAGGCTCTACACAAATCTAATTTAGAAAATTGCAACCCTCCATGTAGTTTTGCAAATAAATCTTCAATGCGTGGCAATGGATAGTTTTCCATCAGTAATGCTTTGTTCAGCGTTACCGAAAAATCACCACAAATCCTTATACCGCCATCTGACCGTAACACAGGAACGATGGGTGTGGCAAATTCGGAATGTTCTACTTTTTCTAAAATACCTAAATTCGACAATCGTTGCAACTCGTTTTCTACTTTTTGTTTTAATGCCAAAGGTACCGGACGAGCCTTAAAAAACTTTAAATGTACGTCGGGTTTTATTTTAATATTAATCTTATATTTATTAAATGTACCTAATTCATTTTTAAATAGCGTTTCGTACTTTTGCATCAAAAATATATCAACATCCTTTTCTAAATAGTTACAATTGTGTAATTGACTACACAACTTTAAATTAAATATGCTTATAAAATCCCGACCTAACAATGTTGGTTGATTTCCGTCAGTAGCAATAATAAATAATTTAATCAACTTAGTACACCTCTCAAAAGTGATCGGCAGAGATACGTATCCCAACGGCGATATTTTACTTCCATTATAGCAATTCAACACCACATTACACGACTTAAGGTTATATTTACTTTTAAAACACAACTCGTATATGTGAGCCGGCAGGACTGACACCGCGCTGCCGCTATCTATCTCGCACAGAACGTCGCTATGGCCTATAGACACCACCTGGCGCATCGGTTTTCCGTCCACACACTCTATACTAAATAAATCAAAATTACCTTCAACCATGTCGTCGTGATCATCCACAGCCAAGTATTTACAATTTTTAACCTTAGATTTACACATTCGTTGTAAATGACCTTTGTTATTACACTTTCGACATATGAACTCAGCATAACGACACTTTTCTTTTGTATGGTTTTTATACCCACACACTTCACAAACCACATTTTGATTAACACTATGACGAGCAGTTAAATGTAACCGGCGAAGCTCCGCCGGCGCCGCCGCTTCGGTGCGGGCGGTGCGCAGCGCGTAAACCGGCTCCTCCTGGAGCTGAGGCCGCCGCCAGCCAGCCGCGCCGCCCGCGCTCTCTTCTGTCTGCGACGCTTGCAATGCGATCCGGGCACACCGTACATTCTGCGCTATTTCTAACGCCCTATTAAACGTTAGCGTATCAATGGATTCTGCAAATAATTTCTCTTTCTCTCTTGCGTTTTCCAATCCCAGTACAAAACGATCTCTCAAAGCGGTCTCCAGCTCTGTTTTAAATCCACAATACTGCGCTAAATGTCGCACTCGTGCCGCCCATTCAGCCAAATCTTCTCCTAACCGTTGTTCTGCCTTATAAAATTGATAACGTTCTGCAAATGTACTCTTTCTTGAAGAAAAATGAGTATCTAATTTCTCCAAGAGATATTTATATTCTTCACTTTCTAATGGCGTAGGAAAAATGATATCCCGCGCTACGCGGTATGTGTCTTCCACCAAAGCCGTTAATAATAATGCTCGCCGTTTTATTCCACTTTTATCATTCTCTTCATTAATATCATTTGCGGTGCAGTACTGAATAAATCGACTTTTGAATATGCTCCATTCCTGAGAGCGGTGGTCAAAGGTGAGGCTACCGCCGAACATTATGTTTCCGTAACCAGCCATCACATACATTAACAATACAATTTTATTAATGCAGACTTAATTACACACGTGAATTATTACTCGTCGCCAATTTGTACTGTATTTAAATATTTAAATAAATAAAATGCTAAATTGCGCTTCACATTTAATTAGGCCGTTCCCGCCATTTTTACAAAACAGGCTCTGTCAACTGCACAGAGTACGTTATGAACAATATTAATTATGCCACAGACTATATATACTACAATTATTATACAAAATCCTTTGTAGTATAATTTGCTGGTCTCTGAAACTCACTGTCTACGAGGTCAGACTGTATGGATCGGTTTACTCTTTCAAGACGTGCTTCAACAACCTCTGGGGTCACACTGCGGATGCGCTGTTTTAGTATTATTCTTATTTACTTCTATGTAGTAGTATTTATTGTCTTTTATATATTTCTACTGTTTTTATTTTTTTATTACTATTATATTTAGGTATATTTATATATTATACTTAAATATTTATTTTTATTTCACCTATTATATCTAATATTATACTTATATACAAAGTATTTACTTTTTTGTTTTGCTGTTGTTATTATCATTTATGTATAAAGCTTCATTTCTTTCACTCCATAATTCCTTTCAGTCATTCAAAGGTTGACTGAAAGAAATCCCTCATCTGGGATAAGTCCGCCATTGTACAAATTATTTATTTTTTAAGATCTACGTATTCTGTTATTTTAAATGTGGTTACTATACAATAAAGTGTTACAAACAAAAACAATAAAGCTTTTTATTTTTTTAATGAAATCATAATTTTATGAGGAAATTTCAATATCGGTTATACTTAGATAGAAGCCGATTCGGTTTCTGCTTCAATTAGATACTGGCCCAAACTAGTTTTCAGTTTGGGCCGGACATAAATGTCCATTATGTGTATAAATTAATAGTGTTATATGGGAGAGGGGGATTATATAGATTTATTAATAAATTTATAGTAAATATATTAGCAATTTTTTGATTTCTATTTAGTTGTGTTTCATGAATTTTGCTTCTCACGTTGCCTACAAAAACACTGCGATTTAAAGATTAGTGTGTTCCGTATGTTCTCTATTAAATGAACTGAGGGATTACTAGTTATATACCTCTTAGAGCTTCCGATGATCCCCTCCAGTTTTGATGTGTTTGTTGGCGTTGGTCATCGCGAACATGTTGGTTTCCGTAACTCTGAGACCTGCTACGTCTCGGTTCTCCTGGTGAGACATGTGGTATGTTCCCAAAACCTGTAAATTACAAGTTTGAGGTTTATAAGTTAATCAGCTATGAGTGACACATTAAAACAACGTTACGTTATATATGTATAAGTACATTAAAGTTGTCATCTATACCTTTTCCCGCAACCTAATTTAAAAAGTAAAGCATATATATATATTATTGAAGATTTCCTTTCATAGAAAAGTGCATTCTCTATAGATATTCAGGGTCAATCACCCTCAATAGACTTCTTATTCTTATTTTGTACAGGATGTACCTACCCAAATGTCCAAACTACCGCAATTTCACTAACAGTTTTTTTTTACATTTTCCATGTAATCATGATTTTATGAGGAAATTTCAGTTTCGGTTAAACTGAGATTGAAGCCGATTTGCAAACTGGCTTTGGACTTGGTACCCTTTACGATTAACACTGCCAAAAATAATACTGCGAATTAAATTTGTTCATGTACATGACGGATTACTAGATATGTACTTCTTGGAGGTGACGACGATCCTCTCCAGTGTCATTTAAGAATTATTACCCTGAAGTTGTATTTAAAACTGTAGTTAACTAATACATTTACAAATAACTACAAGTAACATATGTGCCATCGTCACGGAGCAAAATACGTACAGACTTTAATACTGTTATTTTTTTATTCCTTCTTTATTGCACTGTTTAAAATAAATGTATAATTGACGAGTTCAATGCCATATGGCAGTCTCTACCAGCTCTAATCATTAGGTAAAAACAGAAAGCGGTTGAAGGGCAGTAGTGGGAAAAGGCATACATTTGGTATTAACCTAACTTAGGTAAATGTGTCAATACTACTAATTTGGGTAATCAAGTAATTATTGAATATAATTCAATTAATTGATTACCTATACACTTATAAATAAATTAATTTATTAACGTAGAGATAATTAAATATATAGCCTACGCCACTGTGGAATAAGAAAATGTGCTTTCTATTTAATAAAATATTATAGAAATAAAGTAGGTAAGTTTGAAACAGGTCTTTAAATGGGACCCATAACTAGTTGAAAAAATGAATATACAGAAGACAAATTACATAAAATTTGGTTAGTTTCAGACTTTATTCTAGACAAACATTGTTATATGATATATTAATAATGATAACCTCTTCTGAATACCACGCAATGAAAAATGAAGTAGTGTACATGCAGCTAGCTTGGGAGGTTATTAGTTACCTCTTCTGACCGGCTGGCCTCTTGTACCATGATTGCTCGGTCTTCGTTGTGGTAATTGGGATGAACCTTCACCTCCGTCCCGACTGTATGATCGAGTATATCTATTCCGCACCGCTTGAGGTGCATTATCTGGAAAATTTACATTCTTATTGAGAAAATAGAACGCTCCAAATCGAAGCAGAGAAGTAAAACAAAAGCGATCGAAATAGTATGCTAAGATGCTAAGATTTGCATACTTAAGTGGGTGTCGAACAAGTTGAAATGATGGTAAGATACGACAACCAGATTTAACTACATGACAATGCAATGCTAAATTTATGTTCAGCAATGGACCATTAATATTTATTGTTATTTTAATGTGAAAGTTTACAAAGATAACTAATGTTTAGTTTAGATTTATAAATGGATGTTCCTTGTAAAGAGACATACAAATTACTAAATTGATTTAAATGAAATTTAGTATTTGGTTAATGCGTTACAATTTATCCTGTAAGTGTGCTTTAAGTATTATACAATTTATGCTGTAGTCTGCTGTAATTCATTGTGGGTGTCAAAACAAATCAGGCCTTCTTTCCTTTTAATTTTAATGGGCTTCGTTGTTCGTTGACTACGCTGTAAACACTAATCCAGAGCAAATATAGTGGCAAGCCAAATTATAATAACTCACGAGCCAGCGACAGATCAAGGTGACCAATTTCCTCCCGGTTGAAAACTTCTATAATGGTTAAGATAATTGTATTATGATGCTTAGGTTTACTAAGCATCAGCTGCGTTTCCGAGGGAACAGGAGCCTCATAAAATTTTCAAAATGTTTTATGACAATAATAGTCTAATCTATATCTATAACTTTAAAATTTATTTTAATTCTTAATAGGAAATTTATTTTGACAGGTTGTGTACTACTCACGAGATGGCGTTGTATATAAAATGTAGACGGTGATTATATTACGTCGTTCTTGCTGTTAATGATATGTATACGTTTTTGATAAAAATGGATCTTATGAAGTTGTAAACTTCAAATTCCATTCCAGTTCTCGTTTACGAAATTACATTAACAGGTGGCTTTCAAGAAAAATGAATATTAAATTATTCTTGCTTTTAATTATTAGTCTGTACCACAGATAATATAATATTACATAGTTTGTACCATCTAGAATAGATACGTGAAGTTGTGATACCTTACTGGACATTCAAATCTGTTAATATAAAAAAGAGTAATTTTTAAGTCACTCAATAATCAATTACGATTATATCTGTTTGCATATTTAAATGATCTTTCCTAAACTCTTTATTTACGGACTATATTTATTTTAAAATTAATGAACAACCAACAATACAACGTCTTCATCTTTTAATTTGTTGTTGTAGTTGCAGACAATCTGTTAAAATAAATTATTTAAATAATAACAGATATTATCTTTAACTTTATTTGGCATAAATTCTATTTTTAAATAAAAAAAAAAATGTTTACGAAGGTTCTGCTCCTCAACCCACTTTTAGATTGAACCAGATTGAACAATAGAAATAGAAATAATCTTTATTCAAATAAACTCATTACAAACACTTTTGAATAGTCATATTTTGATTCTACCACTCATTCGGAATGCAGATTCATCACAAGAAGAATGAGCAAGAAACTTGTGTGTTGCTCTTTTTAATAGATGTTTTTTTTATATAAATAATTACAGTGTAACAAGTAAGAGGCATGCGACAATCAACACAGAAATCGCTACGCACTCATTATTAGTGTAATCAGATAATATTGTCAGTGCTATGTATTTAAAATTTTTCTACAAAAACATTATTATCGTTAACGAATTCTTCGATTTTATAGTAAGCTTTTTTGCAAAGGATGTGTTTTATTTGACATTTAAATCTTTTTTCTGGCAGATTTATAATAGACTCTGGTATTTTATTGTAAAACCTTACGCAATTGCCATAAAACGAATTACTAACTTTAGCCAAACGACATTTAGGTAAAATCAGTTTGTTATTGTTACGTAAGCTTTTATTAGTGCAATCACTAACTCTTTTGAAACTGTCTATACTCTTCCTGGCATACATGATATTTTCATAAATATATTGAGAAGCAACGGTGAGGATATTTGATTCCTTAAAGCACTCTCGCAAAGACTCCCTGGAACCCATGCTATAAATGGAGCGAATGGCCCTCTTTTGTAAAATAAATATTGTATTTATATCAGCTGCTTTGCCCCATAACAAAATACCATACGACATAATGCTATGGAAATAGCTAAAGTACACAAGTTTAGCCGTTGCCACGTCTGTTAATTGTCTAATTCTTCTTACCGCATAAGCGGCAGAACTAAGTCGACTCGCTAATTTAGTAATATGAGCACCCCATTGCAACTTGGAATCTAATGTGATACCTAGAAATACAGTATCATCCACAAAATTAATAGGTTTACTGTCCATCGTGATTTTTGAATCTACAGGCCTTACATTGGGGAGAATAAATTTGATACATTTAGTTTTATTTGCATTTAGTAACATATTATTAGCCGTAAACCATTTTAAAACATAAGAAGGAGCACCGTTTACTTCGTCCAAATCATCAATATGTCGATTGACTTTGAATACTAATGAAGTATCATCAGCAAACAGAACTATGTCAGCTATCTTTTCTACCATATAAGGAAGATCATTTATGTAAACTAAAAATAAGAAAGGACCTAAAATAGAGCCCTGAGGAACACCCATTTTAATACTAGTTCCCTCAGACTTTACACCATTTATTTCGACAACTTGAATTCTATTATTTAGATAGGATTTCATCATGCTTTGTGCTTCATATCTAATACCGTAATGTTCAAGTTTGAGCAAAAGTGTTTCATGTTCAACGCAATCAAATGCTTTGGAAAGATCACAAAATACACCGACTGCATCCTGAGACCTCTCCCAAGAATCAAATATATATTTAATGAGAGCTACACCGGCATCAGTCGTTGATTTACCGGCCGTGAAACCAAATTGTCGACTGTGAAGCAGTTTATTTACTTTAAAGTGTTGCAGCATTTGATTGAGCATAATTTTTTCAAACACTTTACTCAATACTGGTAAGATAGATATAGGCCTATAATTACCTACCACAGTTTTTTCTCCTGACTTAAAGAGTGGAGTTATTTTGCTATGTTTCATTAAATTGGGAAAAACACCATCAGAAATACATTTATTGAAAATAATTACTAAATATGGAGCAATAACATCTATAGCGGTGTTAATAACTTTAACAGACATGCCCCAATGGTCTTCAGTATTTTTTAAATTTAATTGTTTAAATGTTTTAGTAATTGTAGCAATGTCAATAAATGTAAATTTAAATGTAACCGGACAAGAAACAACATTGTCAATAAGGAATGATTTAACTGTACTAGGAGAAGAGTCCAAAGAGGAAGTAATATCAGTTGGAATATTAGCGAAAAATTTTTCAAAAATATTGACAATTTCTTTTGTGGAGGTTACTAGTTTATCATTATAATTTAACGTAAAATCGTTATATGGACTTTTAACTTTGCCAGTTTCTTTGTTAATAATATTCCACACTGTCCTTATCCTATCCTTGGACTCTTCAATTTTTTTATTTAGATAATTAGACTTTGCTACATTACATACCTTTTTAAAAGTTTTTGAGTATCTTTTTACATAATTTACGAATGTACTATCGAAACGGTATTTTTTTGAGCATATAAATCAAATAATATATTTCTACTTTTAAGAATTCCCTTTGTAGCCCATTCTGAAAATTTTGTTTTGTTAATAATATTGATAGTTTTTTTGTTAAATGCCTTATTATATTCGTTAGAAACAATATTGAAGAAATCTGTATAAAGTTTGTTAGGTTCATTAGATGGAAGATAAAAATCTAATTTACTACGAACTGATATTTTAAATTTATTTATCTTATAACTAGTCAAGTCTCTTTTTAATAAATTAATTTTCCCAATTTTGTTTAAGTGATTTGGAAAAATAACTATTTGACCACAGTGATCAGAAGGAAGGTTGTTTATTATGTTAAAGTTGATATCGATGCGAAATAAAAATACAGCGCTTTGTAGGAAGGTGTGTAATGGAATGAAATGATGGATGCAATTACAGAGATCGCAATATGCACGTAACATAAAAACTAGACGACGCGCGCCCCGCTCCCCGCCTCACCGCATCAGGAACCAGTTATTATTTATATTGTATTACGGTGAGGCGTTAACATACTGGGCCCCCTTGAAAGCTGGTCTTTCAAGGACTCAAGTGTCGCATCTTGATTCTTCCAGGCAACATACTTTAGAAACGGCTCTTCTCAGGATGCCCTTTTTTGTGATTACATCAATCACTCTCGTGATGCCATCTGATCCAGGATAGAGTTTTACAACACGACCAAGCAGCCATTTCATAGGTGGAAGTTGTTCATCTTTAATTATAACCAAGTCATCTGGTTTTATTTCTTGACATTTTGTACGCCATTTCACTCGTTCTTGTAATTCAGACAGGAATTCCTTGGACCACCTTTGCCAGAAGTGTTGTCGCAATTTTTCAATAAGCTGGTATCGTGTGACATTGTTCCTTTCTATAACTGGTGAAGGTAATGAAGTCAACGGACGACCAATTAGAAAATGCCCAGGAGTTAAAGGAGATAAATCTGATGGGTCCGATGATAGTGCAGTCAACGGACGAGAATTTAATATTGCCTCAATTTGTGCGAAAACGGTAGTAATTTCCTCAAAGGTTAAATTTGCATTGCCTATTACACGCTTTAGGTGAAATTTTGCCATTTTTACGCTGGACTCCCATATACCCCCAAAGTTAGGCGAGTAAGGCGGTGAAAATTTGAAATTAATGCCTTCTTTACATGAGAATTCGCTTACATCATTATTTGCCCTTGCTAAAAGTCTAACTAACTCTCCATTCGCTCCTACAAAATTTTTACCATTGTCGCAGTATATTGTATGTGGTTTTCCGCGACGTGATATGAATCGCCGCAAACAAAGTAAAAATGCCTGAGTGCTTAAGTCGGTAACAACTTCTAAATGCAAAGCTTTAGTGGCGAAGCATACAAATATACACAAGTATCCCTTCGTAGTTTTTGCGCCTCTACCCTTGCGGTTCAATATATA